GCCTGTGTGACTCAGGGCCACATCCAGCCCCTTTTCTTCCTACTCCTCAGGAAACCCTGAACAGCCTGAAAACAGGGATCAAATCTGACTCTTCATGGCACCCCCACCCCACCATGCACCAGCCCCTGCGTGGCGGGAGCTCCGGGCAGACTGGCAGCGTTGGCAGAGGAGCACAGCGGCAGGCAGGGGCCGAGAGCCAGGCAGGAGCAGGGCCTGGTCGGTGGGCAGAAGGGGGCCAGCCCTCCCATCCCTGTGGAAGCCGACAGTGGGTCCCACAGCCCCCTGGGCCCTCCCCTGGCACCCTGAGTCCCCGCTGGGCCCTGCCTGGAGGAGGGTGGCTTCAGCAGGCGTTCTCGGGCACCTGTTGACAGAAGAACCTTGTGGAAAGGTGACCCCCCATCCTAATATGGCCACCCATTGAATCCAGGGCCACTCATGTCACACCAGCTCCAGCCCTGAACGTCCACGTCATGGGCCCCTAACCTGATCCATCACCCCTGGAAAGCCTCTGCCCCTTCTGGGCCTCAGTTTCCCCATCTCTGCAGAGTTGCCCGAAGGCCTTTCCAGCTCGGACCCGAGAATGTGCCCACTCCCTGCCCACTCACGGGGGCTCCTCCTCACGGAGACCTCTCCCCCACGGGCAGGAGGGAAGTGTCACCGTACCCAGGTCTCTCTGGAAAATTCCCGGAGTTCAGTTCTTTCCCGCGGTTCAACCAGAGCTATTGCATCTTTCTTGCTCACATCTCCTGGGGTCTATTTTTGGCCGTGGAGGCCTTGATGTGGCGGCGCGTGTGGGTGTTCCTTTTTAATCTGGGGCCCGGAGCCGTCCGAGGCCGGGCCGGTAATTACGAGCGCAGAGCCAGTTATGGAAACAGCTCTTGAGAAAAGCCAGTGACGAGACCTGACCGAAAATACCCCAGAAGCGAAGCCCTGGGCCTGCTCTAGGCAGCGCTGCGATTTCTGGGTGCAAGAAACCCCTTCAGGACGCAGAGCGACAGGTCATTGCGGAGGCGTGGAGACCCGGGTGGGTCTCGCGTTGGGTCTGATGTGGGCCCCGGGCCTTCGCCAGGAGCAGGACTAGCCAGACGGGCCCAGCCTGTCCGCCCGGGGCTCTTGGGGAGCCCGCCCCCCACCTCAGCGGCCAGGCTGGAGGGGGCAAGTCCCGCAGCAACATGAAATGTCGGTGGCATCTGATGGAGACGCTGTGACGTGGAAGCCACTCCCAGACCAGCAGCGACGCCCCAGCCCAAGGGGCTGGGGGGGCCGGATGCTCCGCTGCTGTCCTGGGGACAGGCGGCCCTGGGAAGAATGGGCTGGGCGCCCCCTCTCTGGGCCCCCGGAGCACAGAGGGCTTGAGGAGCTGACCGCCGAGAGCCTCTCATTCCACCTCACCTGGCTCCATCCCTGCCCTCGAAGGGCTTCCTGTCCAGAGGGGCAGCTAAACTGGGCACAGGAGCCCCTGGCACAGGGGAAAGGGGGAGACCAACGGCCTGATCCGTGTGGGGTCAGAGGAGAAGGAGCCTCCTCAGCCGGACTGAGAGGGAAGCAGCCTTTGTCATGGCGGGAGGGTCGACCCCAGAGAGAGCGTTCTCAGGAGGGACTCTTGGGGAGGGTGTTTGCAGCCAGAAGGCGCAAGAGGCCGAGAGAGACAGAGGGCAGGGCCAGCTCAGGGAGGGCCTGAAACACAGAGCTGAGCTTAGGCCCCTCCCATGGGCCCTGCGGGGCTGGGAAGGGTCTGAGGGACGCAGGACGGGTCACACAGGTCAGAAGATTCTATTCTCTGAACAGCCACTCAGAGCTGGAGGGAGAGGGTGTCTTTAGAAGTCTTACTTTTTGGTCAGAAACAAGACAGATTTAGGTTGTCTGGGTGAGTCTAAAGTTTGTCCGGGGCTCAAAAATAGCTGCAGCCTTTGTTGGTGTTGGGCCGATGGTCGCAGGGCTGGACATCTGGAGGCCTGGCGTGCGAGTGGCAGGCGCAGCGCCCCGGACGTGGCCGGTGGCCGTGGCGGGTGGAGGCCGCCTCCTGCCCACAGCAGGCCTTTCCTGGAAACGTGGGATCCAGAGGTTGTTTTAGCCGAGGCTGGAGGAGGCCGAGGGTTCCATCAGCGCACGTTGGTGATTCATGATTGTTTATTTTCCTGGGGCCACATGAGGTAGTTCAGAAAGTAAATCCTTTTGCTGCTTCTCCAGACAGAAGCCAGTTCAGCGTTTGACCATTTTGGGCAGATTTTATAATTTTGTGGAACATAAACATTTAGAGGTGCCTGTGGAACTAGGTATAGCTTTGTCTGTTTCCAATGCTCAATGAATTGTTTTCTGTGTATGTGTTTTCATATTGTACCCAGTATGTCTTTGGGATTGTTGTTGTCAAAGGGTAAATTCACGTATAATTTTGTCAGGTATAGCCAAATTCCTCCTCTGAACAGCATTTCTATCAGCAACACATGAGAACATCTGATCTTAACCCGTTTCTCTCTCAAAGGCCGTACTGAGCACCCCGTGAAGAACATCCATGACTCTAGAGCCCATAACCGTCTCCGTTTGCTTCACAGCACTTTCGATAGAAATGACATTCCCTATTTCACTTGTTTTTTTTGTTTATATCTTGCCTCCTCCATCAGACTATAAACTCCATGAATGTGGAGAAATTGTCTTGTTCACTGATACCCAGAATAGTGTTGTACATAGAGTAAGAACTTGGTAAATTTGTTTATAAATTGAACATGATGAATTCATGGATAAATAAATAAGTGAATATGTTTATTTATGGAAAGATAATTCAAAGTCTTTTTTCTGGCAAAAAATTAAGACATCAAAAGACACCCTCAGGTGCTATTGGACAATGCACGACCCAGTCCTTCTCCACCCTGGTCTCCTGCCCAAGCACAGCCGCTTGCCCGTCTGCCACTGGGCCAGGTCCCCACCGCGAGGACAGGAAGTGCTCCCCACATCCGCCTCGGGCTGCACAGCCCGGTGCTTTTTAAAACCCGGCTGTGGTCACTGAGCCCAGTAGCCAGAGAGGGAATTTTTAAAAAGACTCACAAACGTCTAATTAAAATCTCAGTGTTGGGTTTTGAGGAAGGCGCTGGGCGGCTCCCACCCCTGCTTTCCGGAAACACAGATTTTTAGTGTTTGGAAGTGACAGGAGGCTAAAGTGAGACCACCCTAAATATACCATCCTGGGCATTTCCATGCAGGGAAATGTGGGATTTATTCCGCAACTGCAGACTCTGCCAGACTATTAGACCAGCCCCCGCCCCGGGGCCGCCTCGGATCTCACCCCCAGCCTGTGCGCTAGCTCGGCCTCCATGGAGTCTTCCAACCGCCACTCGCTCCACCAGTCCCTGCCGCCACCACCCCCTGTGCTCCCCGCTGGCCAGAGGCACAGCCCATGTCCTGGCCTGGCTCCCCTGCTGTGCCCCACACCTGCTGGCCTTAGGGTACCTCCACACCTGTGCAGGTGGGGTCCCCTCTGCCTAGAGCACCCTC